TTGGCCGACCTCCCCCTGTAGGACACGGCGCTGTTTTGCCCACGCTGGACAGTGTGCCACTCAGCATTGTTCTCGCGCACGTATAGAGATATGTCATTTCCCTGCAATGAAATTTTCACGCTTGCAATATCAATTTATCCTCTTTAGAGCATGCTGTCGTTAGAATATATCGGCAAATGATATCTTTCAAATCAGTTTTACTGTAATTGATACATATTACTTATTGAAAATAAAGGTTTAATGTTAGTTTTTACATAATATATTCGTAAACATTTATAAAGTACATTATCAAAATATATTTGTTGTCATGGGTGGTGATGATGAGCGCGAATTATATTACTTAAAAAAATTTTGCGTTGTATAGCATTGCAGAATATTAAATTATAGTATTTTATAAAATCAGACGTAATATTATAATCGATTATAATACGATAACGATGAAATTTTTCAAGCATAACGTTTCGTGCAGATTTATGTCGCATAGAAAAACATTTTTACTATATTATGCGTTGAAGAACTTTTTGCATCGTGTTCATTACAACTTATATGAGAAATTTAGAAGCTATTTCCATTTTAATTTATTCTCCTTAACTTATCTTCATTGCATTACGTAGCGTGAAATTTCATATAATGGGGTACTCTTGCGAAATATAGCAAAGTAAGGTTTATAATATAATAATATCTTAAGATATTATCCTGCGTATTTTACATACACGATTCGCAAATGCGTCTTTCTAATCGAAATTAATGTATGCTGAGAAAGAAGTTAAAGAGAAAAGCGCAGGTTACATTGTTCAACGAAAATTCCGTTTATTAATTTTACATTGTTTTTCTTAGGGCGCAAAGATTTTTGTCGCGCTTTTATGCAAAATTTTCGTAAAGCTAGATGTTCGAGATGCAGAGAATGTAACGCCGACGTTGCTCCCCGCGTAAGAACGGGAATGCATAATCTAATCTGGACCGTCGAACGATTTCGCGCGTTGACTCTGAATTCATCCATAAAACGTCGTAGAATCGACCATAGCGCGTAGACTCGACCAAACTATACTTTTTTGTTTTCCGTTTTACACCGTATACGGTTTAGAGAGAAAACACGAGAGAGAAAGGGAGAGCGAGAAAGGGAATGCGCCGCACGCGCGTGCTCCTTTATCCGGTAAACTCGAAGTATGCTCGTTATTAAAACAGTATACTCGGTTCGACGAACAGCTCGAGCGTCGACAATGGCTCGTAACTCGACGACAATCTTTTCGGCAAAATCGTAGAAGCGTGATGAAATTCCTCGGCCGTGTATTTGTTGCCATGTATCAGTTGACGCAGTATTTTAAATTAAAATTGCCGTCGTTGTTTTATGGCGAACGGGGGGTTTTTTTTTTATCGAAAATACGAAACGACTGTAGTCGCGACAAAATGCATCGTCGGTGGGACGCGACGCCCGACCACTGCTTGTTTCAGCGAAACGTGAGTTTTCCTTCGCTACGAGTCCACACTACTACTGCCAGGTCGTTATTTCGTGTCTCGTTTCGAGGATAAGAAAAGGGGAGGAAAGAAGAGGGCAAGAGAGAGAGAGAGAGAGAGCAAGGAAAAAAAAGAAATCAAGTGACTCGTGCAAAAACGAGCCGCTTGCCATTTTACCGCGCCGCGCCGCGCCGAGAAAAAGGAGTTTGCAACGAGTTGCCGGCAACGCTTTCTCGTATCTTTACGGCCACGCCGGGGCAATCGAATTTAGGGGTAGAAAGCGAACGCCGACGAACGTGCGAGGGATTGCGCCCGAGAGCCGCGGCGGTCCTTCCGCGAAGCGAGGAAGTGCGGGAGAGTTACCGTAAAAGGGGCGATTTTCTTTTAACGGGGAAGAATTTTCTTGACCACCCTGTATAGGCACATTGTGTGATATATATATATGAAGCGACGTGCCGCACGCACACAGGCTAAGCGACAAAATGCGGAGCATGCGCTCGAGCACCCATGAGTGTACGACCGTGGCTTTCGGATTCAGTTTAACCCCCGGCCTCAGCAGGGGTAGAACGTGTTTCAGCACCGTCCAGCAACGTGGGTTTATCGTATCGTATACCATTGTTCGTCCCAGCGAAGCTTGTTTCTCTTCATCACTTTTCTCTTTCTCTCTGCCTGTTACTCCGTTGCCATCAGAGTCGCGTAGAGTAGAACGAGTCAATGACGAATCAGGCGCGACGCCCAAATAGATATTCGTGTATCTGGTCGAACAGTCGACGCGATGAGAGTCTAAACGCTTAGAGGAGACTATAATTTGCGATTATCACATCTGAATGTCTGTCGACATCCTGCGACGAGATTTCGCGAGTGAACGTTTTCTGTGGTCGGCCGGCCAAAGGCGGCCCACCAAAGTATTTCGCGTCTTCACGAGACAGAGAGCGTCAGCGTGAGACGGAGTGAGATAAAAGGCAGTCATTTCTGCGTCTGCTATTGTGGTGCTGGTGGTGCTGGTTGATAGCAATAATAGTAGTAGTAGTAGTGGGTTCTGTCGGTGGTGATAGCAGTGGTGGCACACGTGAACACTCGACGTATACAACGTGGAAAAATGCGGTGAACCACCATCCCCCGCTGTCCCGCTGCGCGCTACGAAGCATTCCTCAAGCAGCTCGCCCATTCAGGTGAGTGCAAAAGATATTCCTTTTTCCGCACCCTTCTCAACGCCCCTTCCTCCTCGTGAGAGCATTTTTCTTCCCGTACCCGGGACGCGGCAATAATTACATACCAAAATGACATTGCTTCGACAAACACGCAATGATGCCTCTGCACGATCAACGAGCTCAATAGCATTCTCATCGCACACATTTAGCGATAAATGTTATTACGTGATTCTAGTATAATATATATATTAATATTAAATGCAATTTATATAGAAAGAAAAACTCGTGCTCACAAATAGCTGCATTTGATATTAAATGTACTTTGGTATTTTTTAATTGCGAATATAAAAGTTTTTATACAAGCAATTAAACTGAAACGAATATTTACATCCATTAACAAATATAAAATATGATGTTTAATATGTAATGTAAGTTTACATTGGTTTGACTGTTGTTCATACATTTGACTTGCGCGATGTTTGTAAATGAACACGTAGCTTTCAATTGCCACGTGTGGCATTTCACCGCGATTGTTTTTCGCGGAAAAATAATTATTATCGATGCGAACACTATGAGGCAAGATGATCGTTCTTAAGGCACGCTTATAGACTAGATATAAAAATAGATAGAAAAATACGTTCAGCACATCAATGGTTAGCGAACGTTATAACGATCGATTTTGCCGAGGCGTGACTGTCGATTCAGGTCGTTGCGCGAGTATAGTATTTTTAACGACGGTACAATGAACTCTCGGGGTTCATAATGCACGAGGACCCCGATTAAAAGCTGGATTTTTCTGTATGCTCATACAAAACGTGCACGGTTACTTTCTAACTCGTGAATGAGGTCCATTCGCGCGTTTAACGTGCAATCCGATTATGTTTGAAGCCAGCGACGATCGATCGAGAACGACGATAATCTAAGCTTTTAGCTTGGCGAGACTTTTCTCGTGAACGTCAAAAGCGATTGTATCAAAAATTTAAGTCGTAACTTCCCTCCAGTACTCCGAGGATTTAACTTCGAGCGTATTATTGTGTTTGTGATCTCAGCGTCAATCGATTACCTGTTTAAAGTAATCCCTTCTTAGATACGTTGCACATAAACGACAAAGACAATCGTGTGTGCGTGCGTGAATTCATATATATTAATTTATTACGGCTGTCTTAAGCCAACGAGAGATATTTGATATTCCAATGAGCCGGTGCTTAACGCCACATTGCCGTTATCATGTAATTTTATCGCGTAACCCCGAAGCACAGAACCTTTTAGTTGTTATCTTTTGACAGCGGATTTCGTTATCTGTTCTTAAGTACTTTAAACTTAGACTTTTATTTTTTCTCCGTCTCATAGAGGATACTGATTTACCGCAATCATATCTGTCTGAGATTTATATCGTGCTTTAATCGTGATTAAAGCACGTTTATATATGATAAATGGATATGTTGATTGTAAGAGATTCTTTTGTACGCAAATGCAATGCAAGTGGAAAATACTGAGACACGCTAATACGTGGAGAGACAAGATTTTCGAACTAACACATTTTACATTTACCTGCTTTATTTGAATCCAGCTATGATAAATCTGCATAAAGCTTCGACTATCTTCGTTTAATATTTATGTATTATTACCAAGCATCGAAATTCGAAATTGCGTTTCTGCACCTGCGAAACGCGAATGCAAATAACGAATTTCGTTTATGCATTCAAACATATATGCAACTTCTTGAAAATAATGTATTTTGACGTTGATAAAATAACACAAATCAAATAAATTGTCAGGATAACATATCAATATAAACAGAAAGAAAGTAGGAGTTAATCAAGAGTATAACACAAAATAATAACACAAAACGCAGTGTATAAATATTGTTTTTTAATGGAATATTTAGAATAGTTATTCTTCGTAAAGAAAACAACTTTACTCATGCTTAATTTGTATTTAACTCGTTTTTAAAAGATATTATTTATACCACTTTTATTTTTTAAGTCCCTCAATTTAACTTTTGCTACTTCAACTTCCCGCTAATACTGTTTCGCACTCAGACGAGTATAGTTCGTTATGGCAGAAGATTAAAGCACGTGTATATACGTATATGGTACAAATAACTGATCGTCAGTGGAGCATTTATGTTTCCACACCTAATTATGCTTCCCGTTTGCCTTGAGTGATGGCTTACGAATATTCGAGGTATTAGCAAAGATTACGGAGGTGAGGTACGAGTTTGATCCACGAAAGTACGCACAGTACGCTCGTCTCCTGCCGCGTGCACGGGCGAACAAAGTACCAGGTGTACCGAGAATCCTCCGGCAATAAGTTACGGAACTTTACTTCTCTGATCCCTCCGGCGCGGCGGTTTTCTACGGATACGACTATTTCAGTACTTGTCTAGCCTTCTTCACTTCAAGTGAAGGAAAACGTCATATTTCTATATCATTCCGTGACATGATAATGTTTTTTGATGATCTGAAATCAAATTTGAAGGCACGGTACGAGAGGAATCGGCCAGGAATTTTATCGCAATTTGAAGTAATCCAGTTTTTTAGTTATTGGATTATTAGATTTGTTGTCGCTATATATATATGTACATATATATCCTTATTTGAAAAATGATAGTATCAAATTATACTAAAAGACATTTTTAAAAACATTTAAAGCGTGTTCAAAGAATTAGGACGTCTTTTAAATGGTAGGAATGGAAGTAATAACTGCCATGCTATAATGAACTGTAGTCTATGTATCTTCATAAAGAAATATATTAAAGTCCCGTTTTCTTCGTTTATGCTTGCCTTCTTTATAATTATTATATTTATCAAAAACAATGTCCATCACTAATTGCCTTCAGGCGTGAGATTTCGCCCCAGGAAATTACGTCTTGACTGGAGCCGAGGTTGTTGTTGTGTTTCGAATGTGTTGTATTTGATAGAATTACCAATCGCTTTGATACATCGGATTATACAATAAATTTGCTGTATACAGAGCGTGTCGTTTAAAGATACAATAATATCAAGAAATATTTGACAAATTTAGCGTCTCGCGAATTCCAATCGTATAGTGACAAAAGAAAATTTGCAATTCGTTGGTATGTTAGAGTACATATATGAAACGTTATGAGATATTTTTGATCAATAGTGCAAGAGTACACAATTAATTTCGAATAATAGTCGTGCACAAGAATTATTCAAGAGTAAACGAATAGACAGATGTCATCCATGTTCGTTTTATTTCACTGTGTAGAATAAGCGTATGTAGGCAGTATTTCCTCTCTCATGTCATCGACGACATTGATATCGATTGTGAGACCCACCTATGTATATACACGTTCGGTATTTCTTCGATTACTGTCCGGTACTCAACGGAATAAATAAAAACATGCGATTTAAGGTCTAGTCTCTGCTCTTACAGATATCGAATTTATTTATGATATAGGTATTACTGAAACTTGAAGACAATTTTGTCATTATTGAAAATTTATACGATAATTTCACGCTATCCTTCATGCCGTCTTTCTCATATTTCATTTCGTACCTTTTCTAATTTAACCGTATCTTCATATTACTAGTACGAGCTTTATTAATATAAGTAACTATCGAAGCAATATTATACTCGCTCATACAGCCGCTCAGCTGGGCAACTACAGCTCGCTTATCAATTCTCTCGGAACCCGAAATTCCAATAATTTCAATTAGACGGACAATTTTCGAAATTGCTGGTATTTCGGATAATTTGAACCTAATAGCGAGATCTTGAATTATCTAAGATTTATTGATTAAAATATATTAGTTCGGATTATGTATTGAGAGGAGACGCAGAAAATACGTGAGAAATTGGTTAAGGCACCTTACTATACCTTCTATAGTTTGCTACTAGAGGAATATGATATTATTTCGGTGTATATGGCTTTTTCTAACATTTTCATTTTTAACTTTTTTGTCTTTTTTAAGTATCATTCTATTACTAACAGCGTTCTTTTAAAGAGTTACAATCTCGTTAAATGTCGCACAGATTAGTAACGCACATGTAGCCTCTCATACGCTTTACGCGCTAACTTCGCTGCACTCTCTGATGACATTAATCTCATCGACGCGGTGGTGATTATATCTGGCGATTATGATCGATGAACATATTCGTCATGGCGGCTTAAGTGTGCACGGTGCCAGTTAGTCGTCATTAAATTCTCGCTTTAAACGTTTTACCTCTAGTTACAGTTTCGTTCTCGCGGAATATTGATTAATATGTATTTATAGTCGCTATTATTTATAGCTGTTTATTTTTAACCGTAATATCGCGCGACTTTCTCCGTTTTACCTGCGATACTGCCATCGTACAGGACAAAAATACATGGCGGAACGGACACTGCGCGCTGTATACTTGAACTTCGATATAACGTGTATGCACATCGTTACGCGCTTACTCGCATGTTACTGGAATGAGAGTTAAAAGAAAAACGAAAGGTGCACTTTCAACAGATAATAAATATGCGAAGCTGACTTCTTAATATCTTCGTGCTTCGTTATATATTTGTTTTCTAACAATATGCTTTTACTAATGTCCGCAAATTACGCTCAAGATATTGAATTGAATTGGACGGAACTATAATCGATAGATCGAAGCAACGTTTAACACGCCGAACCCTACATCCAAGCTCAAGTTTCGATCGTTAACGGCATTTTACGGCGTTTAACAAATGCCGGGGGCGCCGAACTGCGAGGCATGGTGACGTCGATGGTGCGGGTGCGACATTAATCTCATCGACAGGACGTTGAGGGTGATTATGGATGGTGGAGAGGCTCGTTCAGCGTCCCAATGGTGCGCAGTATGGCAACGTTATACGCCGTTTCGCCGGAGGGATTCGCGGCGCGGACGATAGCGTTTGCGGGAGAGGGACTGCGGCTCTCGACGGAGGGAACGAACCATGCTATGGCATTCCGAAAGAGAGAGAGAGAGAGGGGGGAAACGTAGGAGAACGTGCGTACGTGTGCGTTCCACACGTTGCGCTTGCACGCACGCTCTCAGCACACCGC